CGATTACAATACTTACTTGACAAACGCTCTAAACTTCCAATATTCTAGAAAAAAAAAAACTCTTGTATTGTACAATCATCAGGCCTATTTGGATATATCGAATTGAGCTTTGGGAATCCAGAATTCATCCCGTATCCAATCCCTACAATCCAAAATCCTCCGAAGAATCCCTAATACTCCCTATTATGTCACCAATAAAATTGTCCATAAAGGTCTCAATATTCTCGTTTGCATTAATCTCTAATTCTGTTGCAGATTTGGCCCGAATTAGATATTTCTCTTTTAAAGGAAGGAGATGGACCGGGGTGGCGGTCATAAATAGGCTCAATAGTAGTAAAACTATTTTATCAAAAGCCAACGTTTCGACCCGAATTTTTAGGTCTTCTTCAGGGAGATGTTTTTGGCTAGGAGTTTCACTTAGAACTGTAGGAGTAGAACTTAAAAGTGAAATGTAGTTCTAAGTGAAACTCCTAGCAGAAAACATCTCCCTGAAGAAGACCTACAAAGTCGGGTCGAAACGTTGGCTTTTGATAAAATAGTTTTACTACTATTGAGCCTATTTATGACCGCCACGCCGGACCCTCTCCTTCCTTTATGATGCAACGGTCAACTGTTAAATATTCAATATTTCTCTTTTAATTCCAAACTCATTGGTCACCTCAACCCTCTGGTTTATAACTTGTTATCCATAACAATTCCTCAGAACCCTCGAGACGTTTGAAAAGAAGATTACCGAGAGACCTCCTAAATTAATGTAACCATTAGAGTGCTATAAACAAACGGGTTACAAATTCCTATCGTGTTTTATATTCTCAAAACGAATCTACTTGTTTTATTTATTTATAAAATAAATGTCAATAAGTTAATAAACTTAAAAATACTAACTATTTTAGTAAGGGTTACTGAGAGTCATAATTTAAAATGTTATTGGGAGAAGAGTCAGAGCTCTTCGAATACTACAAAGGATTGGTAGCACTGCTGAGTGGGGTAGCCAGATGAACATTAAGGTATTTTTTTAAAATCGTGAATTACAGTAAAGTTGCGAATTTTAAGTTCCAAAAAAAAAAATATATAATTTAAATCAATTCATATCTTTCGATCGCATTTGTGCATTTAAGTTTGCGGAACTTGCAAAAATTCACATTTTTATTCCATACTTTAATATTTTTCAACTTCCCAATATCCAAATGTAATAGCTCAAATTGTTCTGTTACAAAACTATAAAAAAAAATACTCCCTACTGTTAATATAGTATTTCTATTTATGAGGTATGTTGGTCAGTGACTTAAAATTCATTGAAAATTTTGAAGACCTCAACTTAGGAAAAGTTAAATCACACTTAAATGATAGAGCTGTTAACAACATAAAAATAATAAGGCTTAGCGAACTCGAAGGTTCGATGCCGATACCACCAATCGATGTCCACATTCGTCCATCCACCGGGCTCCGTCGAAACCCAAACTTCGCCAGATCGGCCTTAATGCAATATTGCCACCTTCGCTTTGGTGTAACCCTCGGACGCTTGCCAGTCGGTACAGCGCATATTAACTTTTTAGGAATTCTTTCGTTACTAAGACCAGCGATTTTACATGCCCATTTTATTCGCCTCAACTTAATCATCTCAATTATATTAACCGGATACAGTCGGCTCGTCCGAATTCTGTGCAATACTTTATTTTCAAAAACCTTAAGACGTTGCTCATCCCTCAATGTAAGCGGCCTCGTTTCGCATCCATTAAGAGCAACTTAGAGTTATTATTTTTATTTTTTTTTTCCACTAGTTTCATTCACCAAAATAACTTTCCAAATAAGATAAATAATTTCAAACAAATCATTTTAGGAACTAATAGTATATTTTTTAATAACTAAACAAAACAATCTATAACTTTTATGACAAGAAAATCCAAGATAATGCCCGAGGACCTCTCCGATTTATGAATTATTTCCAGCTATAGATACTTAGAAATCTGATTATGGAAGTCTATAGCTAAAGATTATGAAAGTTTTTTCATAATTCAAACAAAACTAACAATTATATATGCCTAATGTTTCATCAAAAGCAGTTCAGTTGTTCTCTGGATGGTAAAAATGTCGGACACTGCGAAAGAGACATTTCTGGGCCAACATTATTTTAAAATAATTTTTATTTTTATTTAATGGATCTTAAAATTAAATGACTTTTTTTCTTTAGATATCGAGATTTTTATTTATCTAATTAAATAGATCGATTAAAAATTAAAAAAATTGAATTTCTAATTGTTTCTTGAACTTTTCTAATTGAATGAACTATAAGGAGTTACATATCCATTCGCGTCGATGATAAATATGTCCTAAAACAAAAGTACCGGAGAAGACGTAAGATTTGGCCTAGTGAATCAGCGACTCAAGGTCTCCTATAGGAACCAATCAAAGGTTGTTAATGACATGGTTATTTTTTACCGTCGCCATGAGCTTAATGATTTCGCCATTGTCTCCGAAACATGGCTCTTAATTCTCTGAATTTATTTTTTCTTTCTAGGAACCTATTCAAATTGCGCAGCGGGAATATTATAGATACGTTATTTGGGATAAGAAATTCATGCCTGAAAAATGATCTGATAAACTGACATATTTGCTTTTATATTTTATAAAGTCTGCTACCCTGTGTCTATAGTGCGCTCAAATTAAAATGAGATTTACAATATACACACCTTTTTAGTTTACAAAATTTAAAATTAATATTTACAGTATTTAAAACTTCAAATACATCGACTGAAAAATTGTAACTTTCTAGTTATGACGTTGAACACACCTGTAGCCCTAATACATATCGCCTATTAGTCTGGCGGATTGTATTATTATTCAATAAACCTAAATACAAAAAGTCGAATTTTCGGTGAACAAAATTAAGAGAATTTTTTTTTTAAGTTATCTATAAATTAAAAATAATAAATAAAACTGAAAATATACTGAAGCTAAAAGGTGGAGTAGATCCAGGGATACGCATCCCCTCCTCCCCTCCCCAAGTTCGATAGCGCAGGAACTCCATCCCTCCATCCCAAGAGATTTTATTTCTTTTTAAAAAAAATGTAAGTAAAAATAGAATTAAAAAAATTGTGAGCCTTTTAGTTGACAGAATGACCCCTATTTTAGCAATTTTGATTATTAATTTTAGTGGGAAAATGTATATACCTTTATTAACAATTCTATATTTCAACACTGCAATCATCTACTCTGGAATCAACTTACTCACTATCTGTAACGATATTTTTAATTTTCTAGCTACAAATATCATTAAAATACTTTTCCTCAAAAATGTTGAAATTGGAATTAGTCTTTCTGTCAAATGAAAGGATCATATAATTAGATTTATTGTGGTTTGGTCTACGTTTGCTCCTAGTTTTCTGGTTTGAAACTTTTCACTGCGAAAACTCCGCCGAAATGTGCCCCCTTCAAAAATTCGAAATGCCGTAGAAATCTGCCCCTCCCTAAATAATAATTTTAATGGTGCAACTTGTGTCATAAAACCCCTTTCTGGCCACCTCTGAGTAGATCCACTCTGCCATTACCAATGTAAATTAGTTTCAGCCGTAATTGTAGTGATATATGATAGCAATCGACATTACTCTATTTAGAATTTCAAATAAGATTAGTTAACAGTTATTTGTGCAAATATGAGCTTTACCTAAAACCCAACAGATTAATCAGCGGTATAAATAATTCATTTTTATCTGTCGATATATCACTATCAACCCGAAGCGCAATTTCCACATTGGTCGTACACGATCAGTCAACATGACAGAAACTTTTCGACGTTTATTAATCTTTGTCAACATCCCAATCTATCAGTTGGTATGTTTGTATAGTATGATTGACGAAAATTATTACTTACATTAAGATTTCCTATCCTATTTTAATGTTCCATTCTTTTCTGTCATATCCTCCGTTAAAATTACTACCACATGCATTATTCATCCAATGCTGCGTCTTTCTCACAAAGATATTCACAAATCAATGCACCGATTATTTTTAGTTAAGTTTTCTTTGTTATGCCTCTATCCCAGTGTTGCACAGAGAGGATAATATGGATAGTTGCAACATCAAAATTTTTACCTTATTTAAATTTTGAGAGGGAAGGAGGCACAATGTTACTGAGTTATGAATTTCAGATCTATTTTTAAGGAGTTTCAATTCGGAAGAACTTTTAAACCAGGAAACTAGGGGAAAAAATTAAACAGACCACAAAAAGAGTAAATGTACATGAACGATAATTTGTTTATTTCTGCTTTCACTTGTTCGGATTTAAGATTAGAGAGCAATAAAATATCTTGGGAGAGATTAGATCAGATTTTAGAGAAAAACAGTGTACCAATGGTTGAGAAAGACAACCTCGTAAGTCCATATTGGTAAATTGTACTTATTATTGTACTTGAGACAGAAATAAGTGTTTATAAAAATGTAATAAATAGTGCTGGTTCAAGTTCACAATAAGTTGTAGGTTACACTCTAAAATTATTTAGTGGTTCATATACAGTTTAAAATCATCTTGCAGTAGCAATTAAAGTATTGTATTGATAAAATAAAACTTGGTTTGCTAGAATTTCAAATCTTTCGTTGTATATATACACTTGGGCTGGGCACTGTTGGTTTCCTAGACTAGTGGAGTTACGAAGTTTTCATTTTTTTTTTTTTTTTTACCGTTAATATATGTACATTTTAGAAAGAAAGAAATAAAAATATCATTTAAACTGAAGGGGTACTGAAACTGCTAAAACGTTTTTTTAGATAAGAACGACTCCATTTCTGAAATTTTTTTTCCTTGGCTATAACGATGGACAGAAGCGTTTTCTCGCTTGAATATATTCTTATTTCATTTGACCATCACAGCGGATACTTCTCTTTATTCAGTAAATCGAATCCATATAATCTTTTTTCCAAATCTATCTTGGCGAATCTTTGATTGAGCCTCTCGTCATTGGGTGCTACCCAATTTCCTTGGGTCAAACAATCCCTCCCTTTTATCATAGCTCTTTCAGTCTTTCAAGTTTTGTATAATCAAGCAAAGTATTACATATATCAACGGGATCTGATTTGGATTTCGGATAGCATTTGTAATTCCTATCCCGGACGGTATTCATCGAAAGGTCGCAAACCTCGGATGCTGTCTGAGACACTAAAGTAACTTAACATCATTCACCTCTGAAGGATGGCCTGAATGAACTGCCTGAACCGAAAAGTTTGTTGTGTTAAGATACAGTGCATTTTCACCTTCCACCGCAAAATTTGCTGTTGCATTTGCCCTTACATTACACGTTTTTCCAGTCATGACAATATTTTTCTTCGACCTATTCGGTAAGATTTATAAAATAGCGTGAAAAACGAAGACAATTTGACGTAATTGGATGAATCATTCAACGTAATTGAATGATGGGTTAGTCAGAATATTTATGCAAATACTTGCATAAACCTTCCGAGTATTGAAGAATAAATGAAAACAATGGCCATCATTATCAATGAAAGTAGCATTATTAAATAAATAAAAGTCACAAATAAATAACAGCCCACATTTATAAAAATTTCTGAATATCACAGTTAAATATTTCACAATAACTTTTATTGTACTTCTTCCTTTTAATGCCAGCTTCTTAAATAAATAATAAAATCACATTAATTTAGAAGTTCACATTAAAAGAAAGACATTAAACGTGCAGCAGAGTACGAAAACAGAACAAGACTGAAAAGTAGTGTAAAGAAACAATTGTTATATATATTCAAAGATACATTTTTTTTTTTAGTTGAAGTTGAACATAAACAACTAAATATTTTACACAACTAACAAAATATTTTACACAAATAACCTGACTAATAACTTAATTAATGCACATTATTGTAATAAAAGGCAATACAACAGAATCAAGTAAATGTTTATTTGTTTATTTTTATTTTTTATTATACGAGTTTGTAAGAGTTTGCTACTCTCATATTTTTATCTTCTTTGCCTTTTTTTTTTTTCAGTTTCTACTTGAGTTTTCAAATTACAAGTATAACTTCTCTCATATACACATTACAATTACACGTAGATATATTCTCAGACATTTATAATATAGTTATTTAGTTTATAGATTTTTAGACAGTTGTCATACTGAAGATAAACAAACGTTTTAACAATGTTGCAGCTATTAATTATTTTAATCGATGATAAAAGACGTCAGCTTTCTTATCTCTTCACTTACTAATCAGATGTTTAATCGATTATTTATCGAATTATCTCTGGTTTATGACATAGCTTCACGGTAATCCAATGGCCTTAGGAGTCATATTAAACTGTAAGGCGATCCGTAGCTGCTTCAGCGAAAATATTTTACAGCATGAATCAAATATTTTATTCTTTCGTTATTTCCATTCAGTAGAAATTAAATATTGGCTAAACCTCGAGCTTACTTTATAAAAATAATTTATAGTGGGTTTATTGCAAAATGGCATGACGTAATATTTTAGAAAATTATTAATTCGCCGAATAATTAGATAAATTTTCCGTCTATGAAACAGAAACATGATGAAACGTATATTGGGGTTAGTGTCATTTTAATGTATTTAATGAAATTCCTCATCGACAACTATGATAGATCCTCCCCAAATATGTATGTAGAAATTTAATTCCACCAAAAATGTTCTTAATGACATGACTTTTTGTAATAAACCAACGATACCGACGATATACCAGATCATCCTATAAGTAATGTCGGTTTTTAAGAATTTGCATGTTTATATTGATATTACTAATTCCTCCTTTATGATTGAATTGTGTTTATATATTTTGTTTATTATACCATTACATAAATCGCGGCGAATAAGATGTGTATGTAAAATTGTTGGAGTTATTAACACCAGAATTCCTAAAAAGTTAATATTTACTGTGCCGACTGGTAAACGTCCGAGGAGTAGACCAAAGCGAAGGTGGGAAGATTGCGCTAAAGTCGATCTGAATGGAGACAGGGCTTGAAGGAAACCGGTGTAGAGAGGTGTATAGATAGCGATTGATGTCCGAAACGAACTTTCGGATTCCCTAAGCTGGGCACTTTAGAAAAAAGCCTTTAAAGTAAAGAACAAATTATAAATAATAATCTCTGAAAATTGATATATTTTAACGGAAATCAAATGTTTCCATGGAAATTAAATAAAATTCCTTAACTAAATGTAAACTTAATTACTTTTTAAGTTTGAAAAAAAAAGTATATGTAATCCGTTGAATCGAGGCAATGGAATTGTTTTTAAAAAATGATTTATTGTTCTTGTGTTAAAGAAGAAGTGGAGTACAAAAATAATTCATTGATGGATGAAATATAAATTTATAAACTTTAATATATTTACTGAAACATAATAATTTTAGATCTGATAATATATTTAAATGATTAGATATATACCGTCGATTTTTTCCAAAAAGTTATTTAGAAAAAGTTTATAAAATTAAGTTAGTGAATAATTTGATGAATTATTCCTCTGTGTAACCGCAATATTATTCACTTATAATTGGTATTACGACGGTTGATTTGTCGATACTGTATAGAACAGTTCGTAACTAAAGCGTTGGTAAGTTTTGCAAGGGAAAAAAATTAGAGTTTAAATACATGTAAAACGAACATTTAATTACTATAATTTTTACTATGTAATTCAATCCTCACTTCGTCATTGATTAAATACGCTGATTTTTCTGTGTGATTTCTCATGTATTTGGTTCAAAACCGTTCCCAAAGAAATATATATTTTTAAACTTACATTCAGCTGTTATCTATTTTAGGACGTTATATAAAAATAAGAAAAAAATCATAATACTTTTTTTCTTACTTTAATCTATTTTGTTTGTAAATGGAATTGATTTAAGAACAATATGTCTGTAAGGAAATATTAGAAACACGAAATTCTTAATGAATTTTTTTATTCATTGAATGAATTTTTATTCATGTCGTCGGTTTATTGCACAAGGTCATTAAGTGACGTTTCATAACCTTAAATAATTAAGAACATTGAAGAATCTTTCCTTTATGTAATCGGAAAGTTGTGCGTTTGTTGCAACTATATTTGATATTATTAAAAAAATGTGTCATTTTGAAGAACTTAGTGTTTTTGTGTTAATACGTAAAGTCAAAATTCACAAACACAAATTTGAAAGTTAAGCTATAGTCAGTGAAATTTTGCAAAAAAAATTCATTTTTATTCAAATATTTTTTAATCGAATAAAAATTTCTTTTTATATTAACTGTTTTTATTCGAATAATAATTTCTGTTTGAATAAATATTTGTATTTAATTAATGATTCAAAAATAATGAATGAATTTATTCGCTGAATAACAAAATGATAAATATATGGATTATTCATTACATGGGGATAAAATATAACTTTTATTCATAAGACCTAACAAATTGTTTACCTCCACCCTAATTACATACTTGCATGATTTTCACTCTTTATTTATTGCTCTATTTTTTGTATACAATTTGCACAACACTCTTGTGCATAAAATCTCTCAATCACTTGTTATTAATTAACTTTACAGCCCTTGTTCGACATTTTGTTGTGTTCTCTCCCTCCCCCCATCATCAAGATCATTGTTATTACATGTATACCGAAATAGGAATTTGATAATTATTAATATAATCCAGGTTCTGATGTGGGAAATATCGCTAAATATCGAATAAGTGATAAAAATAATGTGAAATAGTGGTTCATAAGACTTCGAGCAGCAAAGTAAAGTTAGACTTGCTTCTATAGATATTGTCATTTATGCTTTTCTTCCTTGTCTTCCAAGGCTCTCCACCTCACCATTGTTGTAGAATGAGCTTGTTTTTCTTCTTGTTACTATTCTTTCCTCGTTATTCATTTATTCTTATTATTTAAGATCATATGTAATGAATGTTTTTAATTATTGCTTATAAAATTTGATATTTTGTTTTATAAGATAGGAAAAATATAACATGAAAAATGTTAGAATTATACATCAATCAGAACAAAAATTATTTTAAAATTTGATGCACCAATTTTATAGCTTACTGTTATAGATTAATGTTAATGTCCTGAGTCTACCGCTTGAAAGTAAATAAACTTTCTTTTAATGTTTGTACAAACAGACATATCGTTACGTACCAATTTTTTGTATAAGCAGTCTTCATTGATTGGTTGTTTACATTTATTTTTCTGTTTTAAATAATTTTCAATTTTTATTAGTTTTATTTGTTAAAGCAGAACCGACATCAGACTTATGAAATTACAAAAAAACTTAAATTGTTTCCTTCTTGTTAATTGGATGGAACCATGAGCTTAAATACATTGTCAATAGAGATAGATAGGATTATTTATGGGTTTTGCCTTAACTAGGAGGGAGTGAGGTAGCTGAGTGGTAGGGCAGGGCACTGTGAGCTAATGCTCGAGGTTCCAGGTTCGAATCCCGAACTTATTGCAGATAAATTATTTATTCTATTTCATCAATCGTGGATCAACGCCTAAATTGCTCACCTTAATTATAAATAATTAATAAAGGGGGAAAACCTGGCGGTTGAGCGTGATCTCGGTCAAATCACCTTCTTGCTCAACCGTTGATCAAGAAACAGTTTTTTTCCCTAAATAGTACTCAGCCCAAGACCCTTTATTGGTTGTAGTGGTAGATTTTTTGTATTCATTCTAACTAGAAAGGGCTGACCAAAATCTCAAATGTATTGCCAATCCTTTCATTAAGTACGAAGAATTACGACAAAAATCGGAGAAGAATTACGACGGCATCTGTGTAAAGTCACAAATAATCCCTCTTCACTTTCTCCAAGCTATATTTTATTTTGTTCCACAAAGATTTGGTTCACTTCGCTTTTTAGAACCTAATACATAACAGTATTATCATAAATTACTATTGTTAAATTCTCATGTTTTTGTGAATATTAATAAAATTAAATTATAAAGTGGAATTAAATTTTATATTAAAAAAAAATCGTCCTTCTTACAGGAATAACAATAATGAGCATTGTTTATAACTTTAATCGAAAAACACCACGGATTCATTTCTGCTAATTTATACTTATATAGATTATTGGTTTTAAGTATTAATAAATAATGTATTAATTATCATAAATACATTAAGCTTTAAAAAATCTCAAGCAAAAGGTTTTGAAGTGTGGTTTTACCGAAGAGCCTCTTTGGCCCATGGTGATGTCTGCAAAATTTATACCTCATTGCTTGGACCACTTGAGAAGAATGGCCCAAGTGCCCATTTGATTCTACACTAAAAGTAAAATGACCCGATTCTAACCCAATGTGTGTAGTAATTATTATATCCTGATGACAAGCAGACGAGGAATATTGCAAGTGCCGAAAAATACAACGTTTAATGATTTTGCAAATATACCAAACCAGATGTTTTAAACTCCAGCCATTTTTTAAAGATGGCGGAAGGCAGACTCATTCCTTGAAACCATGCGAATGGCTCTATTTAAAAATAGATAGTTTCGTCAAAATCAGTTCAGCCGGTTTTTTTTTTGTTATGAAAGTGGATAAAAAAAATATAATACAGGCGACAATCCAAAATAATATTGTTTTATTTTATTTTCAAGATAATGTCAACAAAGAACCAAAACAAACCATCTTTGTGTTATATTAAGATTTTCTTTTTCAAAAGGAATGACAAAATTTTCAAACTTGCCATCATAAAATTTTGCTTATTTTAAAAAATGTATTCATTATCTATTTATATATTTATATGATATATAAGAATTTAAAAGACAATGATTTCGCCACATTTAAATGCCTGCATACTGTGATGAAAATATCAAGGTATGGTTGAAATATGTACTTACAATCAGACAGTACACTTGTAGGTATTATATATAAATACAAGCGCTAGTAGGCAGACTGCAAACCTTCTTGTCGGAGTGACTCTGGTGGACTTGAGAGAACCTGGGTGCTCTGTCTTCCGGAAGGTCGAAATGCAGACTGAGGTCTTTTGGAAAGGATAGGGAGGGTTTTCCAGGTATATTCTGAAGATAACAAGGCCATCCCTTGTCCATCTGCCCAGTGGTAATAGTACAAGCTTTGTCTGTGCCATGGAGGTGTAAACTGTAAAAGAATTTCAAAGCATTACATGTCGTCCCTCTTGCTTTTCGAAAACCAACCACTAAGCCTAAGGGACAGGATACCCACACAACATCATAATTTGGAAAGGATATTGCAAAAACACTACGTGAAAAATCTTTAAAAAAATAATGTTAATTTTTTAATTTAGCAATGATAAACATTTTTTTTTTCTGTTGGTATTTCAGACTGTTTATCTGTTGTCGCTGTAATCAGCCTTCTCCATCTTTTCCTATCCTGGGCTTCTTTAAAGATAGTGTTCTTTTGAGCATAGCTGCAGACTTCGGGGAGAGGGAGTGAGGGGAAGGATCGTTCTTCTATCCCAAATAAAAATAGAGAGGTTGAGCAAATATCGTTTCGCCTTTCCTCCCCCCTATATTTTGAAAAACAAAAATATAATCAAAATTAATAACAATTAATATACACGAATGAATGAAATATGTGAACTAAAATTAATTAAGGAAATAGGAAAAGTGGACTAGATGGTTATGCTAAGGTCTAGAAGTAAGAAAGCAAAAATTTTATCACACTCTGTGTTTCTATTATTGAAATTTTAATTTATATTCTAAGATAATTTATAATCTAAGATAACATCCATTTTTATGTGAAGATGTTATCACATTTCCGTGACAAATTTGAATCATATGAGAATTGAGAGTTTATCTCACTGTCTCAAACCTTTAAATAAAAATAAAATATGTAATTTACTCCATTGCTTTGTTAAAATATTTTCAAATATATCTTCACTTTAGCTTCTTTACTTTGAATCAGTTTCCTTTCAACCAGATAACTTCATTATTTTGCTGAAATACACTCACCACAATGGTCAATTAAATTATAGTTGTATATAAACAACTTATTCTGGCATTCCTGTAGTATTTTTACAACTTACCTGACTGAATGGAATCTATGACCGTCGTCTATAATTTGATAAAATATGTGTTATGGATGTCCGGCTGTTTTACCCGACTACATCGAAGCCGGAGGATTATATATTTGGATTATCTACTAAAAAGTGTTTATAACGATTTGGACTAAAGACAGGAACAAATCATCTATATAAAACGTGAATCTAAAGGGTATGTAACGATATTTTAAGCAAACGGCCGTACCGATATTTAAGTTTGATTGTTTAAATTATTCGGTGATATCCTGTAAGTGTTTAAAACAAATTTGAGCTTTAAGCAATGAAAAAAAAAAAATGTTATTATATTTTAAGAATTCTCAATTTCTTGTTCGTAACATAATATGCCGCTGTTGGTGCAAAAGCTCGTATTTGAGAAATTGACTTTTTCTACAAAATGACATAAAAACTTTATGATTTATTAATATAATTTCATATTTTATTTGTCTTTACTATTTTCCATAAATAGCAGACTATTTACAGCAGATACAGACTGTTGTCTGTTCTTTTGTCAATGATTCTTAAAAATCATTGACAACAGAATTATATTCGATGTCAATCATTGGGGAATTTTATGACAATGATATGAAGTTTAGATTGACAATAATTTTACGTAATTGATAATATGTGATAGAAGACATTATAACTTATAAAAAGTTACCATAAACCATGGTCTGATTACGTACAAAAAATCAGGAAACTTAAATTTTGTAATTTTTAAGCCGACCATATTTTATGTTGAATAAAAAGCAATAACTAAAGAAATGTTTAATTTAGGTTACAACCAATTACTTTTTAGTGAACTAGCATATTATTCATACTGAAATTTACATTAAATGCAAGTAAATCATGTTGTTTTTAAAACCATTTAAGGGGGATTTTTAAGCAGTTAAACTACGGTAAATACGTTCTTCAGAAAATCAAGGATTCTCCGCGCAGGTGGATCTACGAGAGAGTGGGGGGAGGTGAGGGGCTTTCGGACTGAAGCCCCTCCCTCAAATGGTAAAATGTAACCATATTTTATGGAAAAAAAAAAATTATCTCTTAAAGTATTATTGTTTGTGTAATTACATTTAATGAGGCTTCAAGAATCACTTAAACACCATTTCATATAGGTAGTTACTATCTTTCTTTTTTTTTTCCAAAGTAATTATCTTTATATATATGAAAGAAAAAAGCTTTCGGACTGAAGCCTCCCCTCCCCCCAAAAAAAATTAAATCCTGGATCCACTAGTGATTTTGTAACACCCCCAACTGGACTGAAGATAACACTCTTTCAGAAAACGTCCATGTTTTATGAGCTTTAACTCTATATTAATCAAGTTGTGGTTTGTTACAGAGTAAGTTGTGATTCATCCCTAATTGAATAAAAAGATGTAAAAGTTTTAGGGTCAAACCTTATTTTACCGTACTAATAATATTTTTACTCAATTAGAGGAAATATAAACTCATACTTGATTTTATGAAACTTTTTGTTGTTTAACTCCTTAAAAGTCTACTTTAAATGGTTTTAAAAAAGACATGATTTACTTGCATTTAATTTGAATTTAATCTAGTTCGCTATGAAGTAATTGGTTGTAGCCTTAATTAAATATTTATTTAATTATTGCTTTTCATTTAACATAAAACGTGGTGCGCTTAAAAATTACAAAATTTATGTTTTCTGGTTCGCCGTATGTAATCAGACCATGGTTTGTGGTAACTTTTTATAAGTTTTAATGTCTTCTATCACATATTATCAATTATATGAAATTAATGTCAATCTAAACTTCATATCATTGTTACGAAATTATCATTGCTAATATAGAATATAATTCCGTTGGCAATCACTTTTACGAATCATTAAAATAAAGAAACTTTAAATAATAATTTGAACGATCAAAAATATTAAAAAACTATTAAATTTCAAAAAGGTATCGTCTACTATGAACAACATCGAATTCCTGATTTGGCGCAATTTTGGCTTTAAGTGGAATTGCAATAAATAAAATCTCATAAAAATCTTTGTAACCATAAATTTTATAAAAAAATGTATATGGCCATTTTTATAGAATTTTTAAAGTACTGTAATGTTGTACTGAACACTCTTTGCAAAAAAATCTATTTTTTTTCAGATGTTCTCAAAAAGCTAAAAAAATAAAAGTGTTCTGTCCTTCCCCCCTTTCTCCCTATCATTCTTTAGTACTTTTTAGCAGTTATTATGGGAATGGTAATGAACAATTTCTAATAAATTTCATCTTTAATTTTTGAGTGTTGTGGTCAATCCCTAATTTTACTGGACTACTGAAAGATGATCTCAATTTACAGAACTCGTGAGGACCATTTTTCAATATAACTAGTTCTGGTCAGAGACCATAGATTTAAACAAGAATTAACAGTCGGTGTCTTTCACTATTACATTACGGCTCCTGGCAAGTAGATTTGGTCCCGTGAATCGGAACTTGTCGATCGGCGAAAGATTCCTCGTTCGGGAGGGAAAGAAACCAGACTACTACACCAGGTTTAAATATTCGTTATGTCAACTTTCCTAACAATCTTTAAAGGTGTTTAGGTACATAGTACATTCCCTTAGAGTAAATAGAATTTCCCGATTTCTGTAGTAAGGTTTTTAAAATTTGTTTTTTTTTATTATTGTAAAATTGAATTTGTAAAACTCTTCTCTGTACTATTTAATATGTTAATTAAATCTAAAACCCAATTCATACCAGAGGATTTTCAAGCAATACTTATTCAATTATCCTTATTCGTCCGGTACTTTTTCGGGAATAAGTCCGATAGCTAATTGAAGAAAATTTTTGTTTTTAACCATATGAATGTTTGAAATAACCTAACAAATTACTCTTAAGTTTTTAAATTAGTTTTCTATCGGCCTCTGTTATTTATAATGAGCGATAAACATCTTCCAAAGTGTTTTTACTTGTATTACTGCCATAGGTATTCCCGCAACTTGGTTTCAGTACCTAATTCTTTTTTTAAATCTATCCTGGATAATTTCCTCCTTATTCCCATTTCTTATTTTCCTCTTTCGGACTTGTATGTTATTTGTTACTATTAATCTCGTCTAGACCTAGAAATAGCTTATTTTTTTTTTTAAATCTGTTTCATAGAAATTTTTTTGATGCCTGATGGGCCTGAAAGAAAAAAAAACAACACATTTTCTTATAATATTATTTTAAGTATTTGCAACTAATTTTCGATTAAATTTTTTTGGGGATTACTTGTTTTCAATATCAAAGCTACATTAATTACTCTTTAAAGTCAAATAAAAATGAACTCTTTAAAGTATGTTTAAGATATCTTTATTTGTAAAATAAAACGAAAGAAAACCCATCGTTTTTATATAGTGGTATTAAAGATAGCTCAAGAATCTTAATAATGCGGTGATATCTTTAAACTTGGTCATAAACTGTAATAAATACCTTGATGAGGGTGAGCCAAAATAGAAATAAATAACTTAGTACTCTATGACAGTATGAGCGAGCCTTCAGTTACAAACAACTCCAATAGGCTGGATGGAAGTTAAACACGATATTTAAATTCCTGCTAACCGTGCTCCTCCAAAAGACGTTCAGACATCATGTAGGTTTTCTACTCGTATGTTCACTTAATTAAAACTTCATGTCATGAGAAGGAGTACAAGAAAATTGACTTTGGGTCTGCTTTCCTGCTTTCGATTGGTTTGTGACGTGAGAAAACAACACTTCATTGCTAGCAGCATAACAAGTCCATCCTCTGAATATGAAAATAAAATAATCCTCGCACGAAATTAGAACTTTCTATCCTTACCGTGTTTGAATTTATCGCAACCTGTAGCAATGTTAAGAGAAGTTCCTGGAACTTATCTGGCTTACGTGTTTCTAATCACGGAAATCATATCTTATGCGGATGTGGAATATCGTTTGTTACCACCAGATCATAAAATTGTTATTTGGGGGCGAAGTAGCCGAGTAGGCTATTGGTGGATGGATAGTCTCTAAACGTTAAAATGAAAAAATAACCAATTTTGCCGGTGCCGGAGAAGCTTTTAGCTCT